TAGAGTGCAGAGGGAAGGATCAGTGAGGTTCAGGGTTATTTCCCTGAGTCTTGGCACCAGCCTACTCCAACTGAGGTCTCCTTTTCCTTAGCCCACCCTGGCAGCTCAGAAGTCCCCTCAGAAGCCCTTGAAGATGAAGAGAGAAAAAAGAACACTCCCAGGAGACTCACAGCTCTACCAGGAGAAGGAAAAAAACATAATCTCCCATTCTTCCCTCTTGCATACCTCTCAATCCAACCAGTGCTCGTATCTTCAAGACAGTCCAATCCAGCAAAGTTTTGAAGTCAACTAATTATAACCAAAGGCAAGGGTAGGGAAAGTGGGTAGGGGAAAGAAGGAAGTTTGCTTTGCACTCAAAATATGAATATTCCAACAAGAGGCCGACACAAGTCTGTCCCCATCTAGGCTTCTCAGTCTTCCCAGACTGGAAAGGTTAGGGAAGGGAGGTAAATTCTTTACTGAACTAAACCCTCTCTTCCTGAAGTCCCTTATAAGAATAACTTGTGATTGAGAGAGAATGAGGTGGAGGGGCAGGAGGAAGAGATGAGTCAAAGAACTTAGCTCTCCCCCCAGCCTTGTCCTACCACCCTGCAAATACAACAGCTCTCTCCACCCAATCCCAACCCCAGTCTTCCTTTCCTCTCTTTTCTTTTCAGGGGACCTCTTTCCCTTTCTCTCCCTTTAACTGTGCTCACAACTAGTTGGGGGAGTTTTGTGGGTAAAATGGAGAAAAGGGGGGAAGAGGAAGGAGGGGGGGGAGAGAGAGAGAGAGAGAGAGAGAGAGAGAGAGAGAGAGAGAGAGAGAGAGAGAGAGAGAATTAACTTACAGCGTTCGCCTGGGATTCATTTGCGAAGATGTAACCTCTCTTAACATCATCCCCAGCCGCCGTAATCCCCTCTAACTGCCTGGCTCTCTGTCCTAGCATTAAACCTCACCAGCAGCTGCGTTGCTGGACAGTTAAGATTATATATGATGTAAATATATTGTGGGTTTGTCAGCTCTCCCTACACCATAAAACTTGGTTTAATGACATCACGTGGTCCCCCAAGAGCCACTCACGGGCCTGCCTTCGGGCCATTCACATAAATAACCTCCAAAAGTTTCAAACTCCTAAATTCACATAGAAGCCATGCGTTATTTCTCGAATGCTCACTTACACTTAAAAAGCCCTCTTTGCTTCCTCCCTTTCCCCCACCCCGCACCCCCTTGCATGGTGGGGGGGGAGGGGAGGGGAGGTCCTTATTTATTTATTTACTTACTTAGTTACTGACTTATTTTCATAAGGACCTATCGCCTTCCGTGGTCGCATGATTTTTTTTCCTCCTTTTTTTTTCCTCCTCTCTCCTCTTATTCCTCAGAGTGGGCCCGTGCCCCCCCCCTCCCCACTCCCTCGGGAAGGTAAGTCATGTTTCTTCCCCTTTTTTCTTGCTGCCAGAAGGGTTGGGCTCCAGGGAGAAGGGAGGTGGCAGGGGAGACAAGTAATCTGTGATCTCCGTTTGGGACTCATATGCATCGCCCCTCACCTCCAAACAAGTCTCCAGAGAAACGCAAAAGCCAAATATTTAGATGTTGTCTATATTTGACAAGATATCCTAGTCCCTAGCCCTGAGGCTGGTGAAGGGGTGTAAGTAGGGAAGAAGTCATCAGCCTTGCTTGCCAAATCCCCTCCCCAAGCAGGCAGAGGAAGGAATAGAGAAAGAGAGAAGGAAGCTTTGACTGTTTTGGTTTGGGAAACGAAGAAATAGAGATTGGTGTGTTTGGAAGAGGAAAGGCCCAAGGCCAGCATTACAGGAGCAAAAAGAGAATCTGGAACTGGCTCGAGGAGACAACAGCTGAATGTCTTCAGGCCTAGAGGGATGAAAAAGTGAAGAAGGACTCCGGGTCTTTCAAGGAGAGAAGGGATAACCACCTGGGAGGAGGCAGTCTTCGGCTTTTGGTCTTTACAGGTCTCCTGGGGTCCTATTGAGAACTACGTCTCCCACTCCCCTGGGTGAACCTGAGTCCAGGCAGCTAGGGAGGGCCCGCTGGTCAGAGAGGGGCTGGGAGCAAGCGCCGCGTCCTCTTTCTTAGTTAACTGCTACCCATCAGGAGACAACAGTGATTTTCCTTGCTTCAGCGATCGCCCAATAGTTTTACTCAGCATGGAGAAAAAATTAAAATAACTCCCTGAAGAAAATTATACATTTTATTTCAGAGTGAAAGCAAGCTAGCGAGACAGATAATTTGAGGGATCACAGGCAGGGAATGCAGGTCCAGGAATCCCAGGGGAGGAAGTCACAATACCAGCCAAACCTTCATTTAGAACTGGGTGTTCAGACAGAGTTAAATGGTCTGGAAAGGGACACAGAGGAAGGTACATAAGGGAAAAGGACCCCTTAGATCCCTTCACAGAAATTAAAAACAAAAACTAAAGCAGGACAGGCTGTGCTGAAAGGAAGAGGAGTCAATACAGAGGACTGTAATACATCCAAAAAGCTTCATCATTAATAATCACAAATATCCTTCTCACCTGCCCTCCTCCCCAATCCCTCTCTGCCCCTGGCCTCCACCTCCTTGGGTCTTTTTCCTCAGGACCTTTAGCAAGTTGAGGCCCAGTTCCTGGGATTTCCCCTCCCCCTCCTTCCCAGGCAGTTCTGAAGGGTGGGGAATGGTGGGATGGCATCAGGCTCAAACTCAGGAAATTACCTCCATTGTAGATGGTGGGGGGAGGAAATGCTATAAACTTTTATGGGGCCTTAGATGGCTGCTACATTTGTTTCTACTGTACAATGCTTCCTCGTCCTTCTACCACCCTCACGTCCCTACTGTCCAGTGAGTAGAATCCACAGTGTGTTTGTTTGGTCCATTCTATAGCCACCACCGTTGGGAGAATTTTGCCTCCTTTCCCCTAAATAGACCCTAAAGGACATGCATCAAAACGTACATCAATAAACACAAAATAGATTTGAGCCAGGGAGGCTTACCTGTACTGCTTGAACTAACCAGATAATTAGCATGCCTGCTTAGCCCTTTGCTCAGCAAGGTTGAGAGACAGACCTAACAGACCCATTTTATACTACACAGACACAATGCAGACCACCCCATCTCTGTCCCCTCTCCATCTTCATACATACATAATTTCATATATTTCTTCCCAAGAAGATTTTAGAGGGAAAGTCGGATGTCTCTGCCTTTTTTTCCTGTTACCACAAACATGCCAAGACAGTGTGCTCCTTCAGGAGATGCCACTTGGGGAGTAGTCTGATTCCCTTTGTAGACAGATTCAGTCTTTCCTAGGTCCAGATCTTACTATCTCCCTTTCCCCCACCCCTAACAGTCTGTGCCAAGAGACCCAAAAAGGAAACCTGCCATCCAGTCCCCAAAGAGACTCTCAAACTGAGAGGGGCAGCCGTAACCAATGGAGCCATGAATCTTTAGCTGTTTTTTAGCAGAGATCAGACATCCAATAAGGCCCAAGGAAGGATTACTTATATAAACACAGAGATTATATCATATATGCATAAAGAACATATATATGTACCAGTACATTTATATCTTTTTTTTTCTGTTCAAATGTATGCCCCCAACCAAGCCAAATGGAAGGTGCTTTCTCCCTCCTCTCCAACTCCTAAGGCCTAGCAATCTAAGGTTCCTTTTCTTTCATTGCCAGCCAACCTGGGCGCCCCCAAATCTAGTCTTGAAAGCCCCTCTTTAGGAATGACTCCCAAAAGTAAAGGGGACTCCTCAAGAAGCCTCTACAAAAAGTTTAGAGACTCCCACCCATCTTCCCTCGCCCTTCCCCATCAAGAAAGAGAGGATTCGGTGGCCGCCTTCTGACTTTATGTCTATTGGTCTTTATTCAATATGACAAAATATAGTTTCATAATGGACCCAGAGTTAATAAATAGTTGGGTGACTGTGGTGGGGGAATTTCCCCTAAAGAAAGTTGCCAGAAAGGGACTACATGGTCACCAAGAGTTGGTACTGGAGTCAGAGAGCACATCACATGAAGATAGACCCCAATACATACAAACAGTGCAGGGACTCCGGGGAACTGGCCCTTGGGCATGCGGGGAGCTGGTTTGGGGTGACATTTTTCCCCAAAACTGAAAGGAGTAATGCTTAGGGACATCAAGAGGGCCTGGAAGAGGGTGTCCAGAGTTCATTAAATTTTTCCCCTTTCATATGTAAATCATAAAAAAATAATGAAAATCTAGTTTAACAAACCAAACAACCTCCCCCCCCCCAAAATTAACCCACTCACTCACACAGTCACTCACTCACATCACCCACACCTACAGAATGCCACAGCACTGAAGAAAAGATACCCAACCTGGGCCTGGTCCCAACTCGCCAGCTCTGTAGCAGGGCCCCCTCGAACAAAGAAAGGCTGAAGGTCGGCTGAAAAGGGGTGTTATACATTTCGAGCCCAAAGGTGGTGGCTCTACCCAAAGAGGTTTGCAGGGGCCACCCCAGTCCTGAATAGACCACTGCCAGCCTCTCCTTCAGGAAATGTAGCCAGAGATGAAGGGGACAAGAAGATGGGGCTAGGGGGTTCTTGGCTTGTTGCCTTGATTGGTAGCGGCGAGTTTAAGGAGGAGGATTTTGAAGGCAAAGAGCTCTCTCCTTCCCCACGCCTGGCCCATCAAGCAGTCCCGGGGTCTACAGCATTTTAGTGAGACCCCCTCAGAAGATTTCACTGGGTTATTGGGTCGCCAGGAGGACTTAGGGAGACAGACTGAAGAAGTGAATGAACACAGCAACACACTGAGTCAAGCTGCGGTTGGAAAGCTGAATGCTCATCGAGAACCGCTTTTGTCTGCAGGGTTGAAAGAGCCCGTGACAAATCCCCCCCAGCTCCAACGCACACACTCCCCTCTACCCCCACCCCCGAAAATTTTTTCACACACACGCGTGCGCGCGCACACACACACACACACACAACCAAACAAACAAACAAAAACCACCAGGAAAAAAAGAAAATTAAAAGTTTCCCAAGGTAGATTCAAGCCAACTAGAGGAACTATTTGAAGGGACTGCCATATCCCGTATCTCCCTCTTCCCTTTAAAGAGCCTCTTTGCTTTTTAATTTGGAATCCTTCTTCCATTTCATCCTTCGGTTCTGGAACCAGATCTTGATCTGTCTCTCGTTGAGACACAAGTTGTTGGCGATCTCAATTCGCCTTCGGCGGGTGAGGTAGCGGTTAAAGTGAAATTCTTTCTCTAATTCCAAAGTCTGGTAGCGCGTGTAACTGGTTCTGGATCGCTTGCCGTCTGTCTCTGGAATATAAACCCCACCCCAGCAAGTGCAGGAACGGGTGAATAGTTTTTTTAAAAGTCCCAGCGTCTCCCTACCCCACCCCCACCCCCACCCTAAGATCAGTCTCAGAACTAGCCCCAGCTGACTAGAGAACAGGGCAGGCGGGCAAAAGGGGGTAAGGGAGGGAACGAAAGCAGCCCCTGGCCCTAGGGAGAGGCGACACTTGGCTCTGTGCTAGGGAAACTTTCCGCTCCGACACTCACTTACCCAGAGGGGGCCGAGGGGGATGGGGAGGGAGACCCGGGACTCCAGTGAGACAATAAGACCTCCAGACCCGGACACAAGGGGATCCCCCTCCCTTATCCTCCTCTGCTTCCTCCCTCCCTCCCTCCTGACTGGAAAGCCTCCTCAGGCCCCCCCCCAAATTAGAATCATTTCCCTAATAATGGGGGTGATGGTGAAGGGGGGAATCCCCTCTCTGTAAGGCCAGCTTGCCTTACCCCTCAGATCCCTCTATTTTTTTAACTCCCTCCCTCCCCCCAAAAAATTGAATATTGCCTTTTATACACGTTTTGTTCCTATGATCCAATTATGTCGTCGTAAATTTGGGCGCATACAGCCTCTAAGCCTTTTAGTGGACAGTTTTACGAGCAATTGATGCCTGCACCGTAAAATTTATGGCCGCAGGTTTTTTCTTTTTATTTGCCCCGTATGGCCTATAAAACCCAGGCGGACCCGAGCGCACAAAATGAAGCCCTAAAGTTTACCGTGGCTCATGTGGAGTTTGGTCATCCACGGGTATATTTGTGGCGGGGCCGGTGGCTGGCTCAGTCCTGCGGGCTGCCCAGTCTGAGCCTGTTCTTCCTTGATCTCCCCACTCCCCTTAGATCTGTCCTCCAGCGCCGGGCGAGCCGCCTTCTGATTGTACATCCCGGGGTTTAGAGGAGCCGGTTCGTCTCTGCCCAGAGCGTGTCCCGGAGCTGCCACCGTGGTACAGGCGGGTCGGTCTGGGTGAGGTCTAGGAGTGGCAGCCATGTCTAACCCGTGGAGAGAGTTGGAAGGAGCAGGCGGTGGGAAAGTGATGCTTAAGTCCAATCCACTGTAGCAGTACCTGGATGGCTGCACCTCTGAGACAGATCCATAGTTCCCACAAGTTTGCATGCTATAGGCAGGAATATTAGGGCTTTGCTTATAGAATGAATTGGCTACGTAGGAGCTCATGGCGGGGAGGGACGAAAAAAATTTCTGCACCCTTTTTGATTAAGGGTGATTTGTGACTCTTTGAAGTTGAGGGGTTTTTTGTTCTCCAAAGTGCACAATTTATAGGTGGAGATATCTCTTTCTTTATCCTATGCGCGCTTTCCAAATAAGGGATCCTTAAATAGAGTCACGTGACTCGGGCGGCCACTCATAAATTTGGCTTGATGACCTCCGGGAGGTTAGTGATGGAAGCCGGCGAAACGCATCTTGATATGTTGGCACAGCCCAACCGAGGGGAGAGGGATCGAGAGAAAGGGAAAGAAGAAGGGGGAGAAAAAAAATGGTTGTTGGAATTAGGGGGTAGCGGGGACAACGAGTCCACAGCGACACCTGGCGTAGGCTCGGCAGAATTGCACCCTGGCTCATCATCCTCGCCTCTCCAGGGTGGATTTTTCTACCCTAGCGAAGAGAAGCTGTACTGTTTTACACAAACCCCCCTGAGTTGGCCTTTTAAATTGTATTTAATTTTAAGGAAAGATGGGGCCTCATTTAGGATGCGCAAAGGGGCTTTTCTGAATAGATCGTCGCCCCTCCCTCCCCCAGGGCCTTCTAGGATCGTTGGAATGAGCTAGTTCACAGGAATTTGTGCGCGTGTTGGGGGGAGGGGGGAAGAATTGAAGTGGGAGTAGATGCTAGACCTTTCATTCAGTGGTGGCTGGGAGTGGATCTGTTTCTTTCCTAATTAAAAGGACCTAAGTCCCTTGCCTTGGGGAAGGGAGAGGAGCAGATAGAGTTGATTAGGTTTCTGAAACGACTCGACTTGGAAAGGGAAGTCTAACCACTAAGGGGTATTTGGGGAAGGGGAATGCCTGGATCTACAAGAGTTGGGAAGGCTGAGGTGGGTATAGTGGAGGCAAAAGTATACTGAGACGATGTCTAAGAAGGGCTTGGAGTTGAGGAGAAAATAATTATGATTAGACCTCACTCCACATTCACTCATATCCAACCCCACAGTAGGAATTAGAGTAATTTAGTGGTGATAGTGTAGGTGATGTGTGTTTTATGAGAAGTCAGACACAAAGGCCTGTAAACGAATGTGGTTTGAGTGGAGAAAGTGGTATTTGTGTGTATGTAACACACGTGTACTCAATATGTATCTATATGCATAGAAAATAGATACTATGTGAAGTCACAGGAAGGTGGGATTTGTAAAAATTCCCATAAATGCATATTTTCCACCTTTTGGGGCAGGTGTTTTTGGATAGGCACTTTCAAAGGCCTAAGGTCTTCTGGGTTAGGTTCCTATAAGTCAAACTCTTTATAGAGTATGTGCGTTTCTTTGGAGAAAGGGGTGCAGGGAACATGACAGAGAAGGGAGAAGACTTTGGGGAGCAAAGAGGAGAGATCTGGGGGAACAGCCAGCCAGAAGAGGTCCTAGATCAGGAAGGGCAGGACATGATTTCCCAGTTGGAGGAGAGCCCATTAAAATGTCTGTTGGTTTCCATTTTTTTTCCCCAACTCCAAGTCACATTCTTTCCTTCCTTCCTTCCTTCCTTCCCGGGGAAATCTCCGCCCCTGGATTGAGAAACACCAAGCTCTGGCAGCTGCCTGGGATGTGTGGGGTTTTGGAAATCTTCTTGGCTTTTCATTCCTCTTGAAGACCCCATCTCAACATTCCAATTCACTGGGAAAGGACTTCCTCCCCAGTTTGGGTCAGGGTTTCTAAGCAAGGCAGGAGGGAAAGAGAAGGCCCAGAGCAAGGGAAAAGACCGGGGTGAACTTTGCTCTTCAACCAGACTTGGGAGCGTGAAGGGGAATCTGAGGGAGAAGGAGAATTGGGGTGCTGATGAGGGGGGAGTGAAGAAAGATGTATTTTTGCCCTTATGTCCGAGTCCCAGCAGAAAAGAGGACTGAATTTCCCGTCTTTATTTTTCTAAGCGTCCTTGAATCACCAAATCCTCTGTGAAATGACTCCAAATCTTTTCTTCACCTTTCGCTGCCTCCGACACATCTCGCCTCAGCCGGCCCCTGGTTCAGGGGTCAGCTTGCCAGCTTTTTCTCTCTTCTGGGAACTCTGCGCCTGGAGTGAACTTCTTTTCTTTCCTGGGTTTTATTTTTTGGGGGGGATGGTGGGGTCAGGAGGCAAATCTTCAAGGTTTGGAGTCTTTAAGGAGACTCAGAGTGGGATTCGATTCCAATCTGTATTGTTGGCTTTTAGAAGGGAATTTTCCAATGAAAAATTCGATTTTTTTCTTGGGGGGGGGAGGGTGGTAAATGAAGACTGCCTTTTCCCGAGGAAGGGATCGAAGGGAGCTTTTCTCAGCTCAGAGCAGGAGGACAAAGAGGAAGCAGAGAGAGAATGTTTCGGGGCTCCTGCTCCTGAAGTTTCTGAGAGGAAACCAGAAGGGAATGGGAGTGTGCAGGGGCTGGAACTGGGGCTGGGGGAGAGAAGCAGCCGCCAGGGGAGGCATAGAGACGCAGCAAGGACTCGGCGCCAGCACCAACTTTCGCCCACGATGTACAGGAGATGGGGCGAGCGAATGAGCAGAAATCAGGATATAAACTTTTAAAAATAATATCAGTTTTATTAAATACTCGAGGACCGGTCTGGGAGACGGATTTATACAGGAGGGTAACACGAGGGGCATTTTTTTCTTTTTTGTATTTTTTTCTCTTTTTTTTTCCTACTGGCTAAACAAACTTCATTCATATCTTTTCTCCTTTCAGTCCCCCCACCCTTTTTTTTTAAATTTGGGATTGGAACATTGACGGCGCTAAACATAAATATAAATACAGAGACCACAAATACAGCTAAAAATATTCACACAGAAACTGTCACAGTTTGTTATATGCCATAATGACCCCCGAGGATTCTTTAAATACGATTGGGTTATGCTGGAAAATATGTCGGAGCTTCGGGGGTACTGAACTGGGGTACTGGGATTGGAACTGGGACCAGCAGGGTTTGAAAGAGGGGGAAAGCTTCCTGCCCACTCCAACAGCCCCAGGGGTTGTTTTAGACCCTTAGCAGTGTCGCTACATAGGGCCTCGATGACTCACACGGCTTTAGAGTCCCTCTCGCCCCTGGGGAGGCTGAATGGGAAATAGGCGCCTTGTGTGTCGGCTCTTTGCTGCTGGGCCCTAGAGTGGGGCTTGGGGTGGAGGAGGGAGGAAGATCCAGTCCTCATTCAAAATGAGCCCTATGGCCTCCGAATCGAGGTTCAGAGACCTAGGCCCCCAAGGCCGGCGGGATCAGGGAGGTAAAGGGACAGGAGGCCGAAGAAAGAAAGGGAGAGAGGGAGGGAGGAGGGGGTGTTTGGGGAGAGGGAGCAGGGGCGAGATCTGACTTGAAGGTCCACATTTGACTCCCTAATCTTCCTGAGGGAGTCAAAATATAAATTGTGTCAGTGATAAATATAGGATTTGTGAGAAAGGAGGGGAGCAGAAGGTCTGGGGAGAAAGAGGAGAGGAGAGAATTGGGTAGTGGGGGAAGGTGGGGGGAGGCGAGACAGTTTTCACTCTTTCTGTTTTTCTTCTTCTGTCTCTTCCCGCTTCTCTTCCTTGCCGCCTAGGCTGTCGGCCGCGGCCCCTCCGCCGCCCCCCGACAGCGTGGAAGTGAGATTAGATTCCTTTTTCCATTTCATCCGGCGGTTCTGGAACCAAATTTTGATCTGTCTCTCGGTCAGGCAGAGCGCATTGGCAATCTCGATTCGCCGGCGCCGGGTTAGGTAACGGTTGAAGTGAAATTCTTTTTCCAGCTCCAAGGTCTGGTATCGAGAGTAGATCTGCCGGCCGCGTCTCCTGTCCGCCCCATAGCCGACCCCTAGAGATCCGGACACAAAGCAAACTAAAAACAATTAGTAAAGGGAAATAATCCTAGTAATTCACATAAGGAAAAAAAAGTGTCTCTGTCCCACCCAATTCCCTCAGCACCCTACTGCACCCGTCTGCCCTCGCTTCTGCCCCACCCCCATCTTAATTCCTCGAAGCCTGGGGGGGGGGGACTTGGACCCCAACTTCCTCCTAGGTCCCCAATGTAGGGGATAGGTATTGTCCTGGAGGTGAGGGGATTAAGAAGAGGGTGAAGTGATATCAGGCTGTGGGAGAAAGTCTGAAACCGTAGTTTGAAAAGGGGAAAACTCCAATTGCTTAGGGGAAGGGGGAGAGAGGAGAATCCTCTAGAAGTGCATTTGACTTGATTTTCCCTACTTTCTCAGGTTCCCTCCGCTTTGCTCCCTCTCTTGCCCTTTAGAAACTTCTCCCCTTCTCTTCTCTCTCCCCTCCCCCTTCACTCTTCCGCTCTGCCTGACTCCACTTTCAGGGGTTCCCCCAATCCTTCTCAGTCCCTGTTCCCATCCCTAGCCTCACCTCCCCCTTAGCTCGCCTACAACCCCTCCAATGCATCAGGGGAGAGGGAGCTAGGGAAAGGGAAGGAGGAGGGGGAAAACGGAGGAGAAGAGGGGGCCCTGTCTCGACGCTGGCGAGGAGAGGAACGTGATTGTTTTTATGGCGCTATAAAAAAAACTCTCCGCCTGTTCTTCTAGGGAAGCTGCTCATAACGCCAGTTCACTTTATTTAATTTATATCTTGGAGCTGTAAAACTCACCACTGTGCGAATTCATTCGCTGCATCCAGGGGTAGATCTGGATACTGGTTTTCTGGTCTTGGGGAGCAGTCCTGCTTTGCTCAGAGCTAAAGTCCTGGGCCATTGAGGTCTGTGTGTTGTGTGCTAAGGTGTTCTGCCTGCAATTTGAGAGCATGTCTTTTTCCTGGTAAAAGGAATTAGATCCATAGTCATACGGCCCCCGGCTCGAACTGAACACGACATTCTCTTGTGGCGAATAAAAGGGAGACGAGTAGATCCGGTTCTGTGCCACCGCCGCTCCATAGGTCGAGAAATGTCTCACTGGATCATAGGCGGTGGAATTGAGGGCGACGTTGGGGAGAACGTCCTGACCCCCGGCGAGATGGCACGATAAGGACGGGTTAGTGAAATAGGAATTCATCCCTTCGCCTTTACC